TTTTTTTTTTTCGTTCTCATTCATATCTGATTTCATTCAATTGACATTGTATCTGGTTTTTTTCTTCTCAATAATAGGCATTATAAATGGATCATTTTCTGAAGATATACTTTTCTTACGGCAACTAATTTTAGATGGTCAATGGGATGATGTTATTGATTTTGTTCAACCATTAAAAACTATTGATTCATTTGATGCTAAACATTTTATTTATATTGTACTAAAATATCAATTTCTTGAATTATTATGTTTAAAAACTGAAGCACAAATTGAAAATGATTTATCTGTTGAACAAATTGTTAAGTTAGTTAAATTAAGTTTTTTTTTTTGGATTTTTTGAATTAATAAAATAATTTTCTTTTCTTTTCTTCTTTTTTAGATTTCTTAACGATTTAAGACCATTTACACCAAATGAACAAGAATATAAAAAATTATCATTTTTACTTACACTTAAACGTTTACAAGATCATAATGATTATCGTAATTGGAATCCAAGTGCTGGACGTGTACAATGTTTTCAAGAAGTATTTCCACTTGTTCATCGATTTTTACAAGTAAATTTCTTTCTTTTTTTTTGGTCGAATAATGATTTCACTTTCTTTTTTTTTGTTTATTTATTTAATCCGTATATATACTACAAGAGTATAAATGACATATTGTTAATCCCTGTGTTTTTTAGGTGGATAAACAAACAATTTCTGTTGCACAAGGAGATCGTCTTATTCAATTACTTGTCAAAGGTTTACTTTATGAATCATGTGTTGAACATTGTCAAGCACGTGCAACAAATACTGATGAAACAATTGATTTAACTGATCCAAATAGTTTATTAGCAAATACACATTTATCAGATACAGATGTTTCATTACTTTCATGGCTTCATGCATTACCAACAGAAACATTTTCATGTCCATTTGAACAAAAATCTTTAACATTAAATATTGATAAATTTCAAAAACCAATTCTTGAAGCAACATGGGCTGAACATGTTTTAAGTACACCATTTAAACCACAAACAATGTTTCCATTTAATGCAACACCAACAGGTAAACCACGTTCAACAGAATTAATGTCACGTTCATTAGCACCACAATATGATGGTTTATCTTATGGTCTTATACGTTCACAAATTTTTGGTGATTATAATCGAAATTTTGTTAATGATATGAGTCGATCATTAGCTATATGTAATCTAAAAGATAATATCAATAATAATATAAATACAGTAGCAACAACACCATTACCAACTGTTGAAGAAGTTCTTCAAGAAGATACACCTTCATTATCAACACCACCACGTACATTATCACCAGCAGCAAATATTATATCTCCACAAACAACGCATCGAACACAATCACCAAAACGAAGTGTTAATGGACCACAATATACAAATAATAATATATCATCATCAAATGATATTATCGGACAACAAAATATTTCATCAACGAAGTCGGTCGGTGAACCTAGTCATTTGAATAATAGCTATGTATATAAGCCAACAAATGGTAAAATTATAAATGAAAATGGTAATCGATCACCAAATAATAATCAAACAATATCACAGTAATTAATAGATTGTTGTCTTTTGTTTTAGAATTTTAATATATTAAGAATTTTATTCATTTTAGAAATATAAATAATCAACAAGCAGATGCATCAAATGATCGTTTACTTAAAGTAAATGAATATTGATATTTTTTTGTTTGTAATAATTTTTATCTTAAAGGAATATCAAAAAAGTCGTGCAGAAATTATTCGACAATTTGATGAACAGGAAACACGACGAAATGAATTACAAAAACAACTTAGTAAGTTTTTGTTTTTCTTACTAACGAAGAAACATTTTCAATCGATCAATTGAAACGTGCCTTTGTAAGTTATTATCCATCAAATCAATCCTATTTATTTTTAGCATCATCTTCTACAAATCCAAAAATTCGAGCAATTAATGATGTAACTAAATATGATTCTCTTGAAGTATATATATATATATCTTTTATTCTCAATTCAAAAAAAAAAGAATTCATTCTTTAATTACAGGATATCGCTCGTTCACCAGCATTTATTCCATTAGCATCTGTTGAAGATGTTCAAGCTATACGTGCTATTGATGTACATCCAAGTGGAAAATATTTTGCTGTTGGTTCAAATTCAAAAATGTTACGTATTTGTGGATATCCAGATATAAAAAATATTCGTACAGATACTGTAACACAACCAGCAAAAATTTTCTATAAAAAAGGCAAACATCATCTGGGTAGTATTTATTGTGTAGCATGGTCACCAAGTGGTCGAATTATTGCAACAGGATCAAATGATAAAATTATTAAACTTGTTCGACTTAATATGGATAGATTAGAAGATGAATCAAATCGTATGTACTAATTATTGTTACAAAAAATAAAAAAATACATAAATCAATTTTTTAAAATTTGACTTATTTTTATGTTTTAAGATACAGAAATTGAATTATCATATCATAATGGAACTATTCGTGATGTTGTTTTTATGCATGATAATTTAAAAGATGATTCAATTTTATTAAGTGGTGGTGCTGGAGATTGTAAAGTTTATGTTACAGATGTTAAAAAGCAAACACCCATTAAAAGTTATAGTGGTCATCAAGGTATAAAGATTTATCTAGTTTTTTTTACAAGATTCAATCTAATCAGTATTTTGTTCAGCATAAGGATGACACCCCTTCGAAGGTCGGGTTGGCTCTTCCAAAAAAAAAAATTCTGAAATTAAACACTGGACCTAAGAGTAGTATGGAAGTATATGATGAGAAGTTTGGAACCTCTTCATCTCTACTGATTGGTACAGGCATGACCTATTGTGAGGTTATTATTGAATGTTGAATTTTATAGCAAGAGTGTTAAACCTTTGCGCCCTTATATACTCGATCAATCTATGAATTGAGAGTAGATGTTTTTCTTTCACCTTAAAATATTTGTGTATAAATATTTTTTCATCGAAAAAATAGATAAATCGAATGACATTTGATGGAATTCTTATTTTACATTTTAATTCCATAGAGTTTATGCTAAAGATATATTATTCTATCGAGCTGAATGACATTCAAACAAAATCATAGCTACAATGCGAATAATGTTGATAGATGATAAAAAGTAGACGATGACAACACCATAGTTGTTGACATATTTCACGACTCAATTGTATGTCATCTAGACAAGATATGATTGACAAACTTGAAATAAATCCTTGTCCTTTTCACTATTTATAACAAAAAAAGTCAATTAGTGTGTCCTAGAAATTGAGTTCTCAATAATCTGTACATTTTATTTTTTTGAATGAAATTTATCAAATATTTCAAATACAATATTAATTATTCTAGGTCATATATATTCATTGTTTGCATGGGATGCATGTAGTTTTGTATCGGGTAGTCAAGATGGTACATCACGTTTATGGGATATTCGTCAACCTAATTGTGTTAATGTCATTGCACCTCGTCCTTCAAGTATATAAATCGATATTAAAAAAAAAAAAACAAAGATATTTTATTAATATGAATTTTATTTTCATTATAATAGATAGTGCAGTTTCAGCAGTAGCTGTTGATAATTCTGGTCAATTATTAGCAGCCGGTTATGAAGATGCTTCATGTTTACTTTATGATCTACGTGGAAAACGTGTTGTACAAGTATATCAACCACATTCAAATGAAATTCGAAGTGTTCGTTTTTCTGTACATTCATATTATTTACTTACAGCTTCATATGATAAAAAAGTTGTTATGACAAGTTTAAATGGTAAGAAATTTTAATGTTCTTTTTTTGTTGAATTATTTAATTTTATTTCAAAAAAAAAAAAAAGGTGATCTTACTAAACCATTAGTTTTATCAAGTGTTGCTGCACATACAGATAAGATTATTCAAGCTCGATGGTACGTCAAATTTTTCTCTTTGGATGTTGAATGTATTTTTATTTTTGAATATTTTAGGCATCCAAATGAAATGTCATTTGCTACAACAAGTGCCGATCGTACATGTTTAGTTTGGGCGCCACCTCTTTCCGCTTTATCTACTCTGGCACAGTCACCATAAACAAAAATTAAACCTACCGAACAAAATTCGATGTTTTAATCTCATTTGTGTTTTTAGTTTTCTTTTTTTTTTCTTGTTCTTGTAATTCTATACGAATAATAATGCAAACAAAAAAAAACAAAAAGAAAGAACTTAGATCTGGTTTTTTTTGTTTGCTTGTCTATTTATATTGATGAATTTTGTCGTTTGCTTTTTCATCTAGTATTAGTGCGGTTCCCCTTTTGGAAGCAAAGATTTTGGCTTTCTTTTTTTTTCGTTGCTTTAAAAATAATGCGCAAATGTGCCGATAAAAGTTTATTTGTTTTATTCAATTGATGTATATTTTTTTTTCTTTTTTTTCTTCGCTTGAAATAAAAATAAATCCCTGATATAATAATTGTGTTATTTCATGTTTTGGTTTTTTCTTGTTATGCTTGTGATGATGATAAGCGATCGAGTAAACGTAATTTTGTAAGAATTGATCGACTAAGATCAGTATTTAATTGCCATAGATTTTCTTCAGTTATTTGAATATCGGATTTTTTTTCATCAATTTGAATTTTTAATTTTTTCATACGATTTGAAAGATATAAAGTACCAAATAGACAGGCTAATGTTATTGATGTAAGAGTCAAATCTATCATAGATGGCATTATAGATAATAGAAAAAAACTAATAATCGCGCCTTTTGATAGAATACATTCAATTTTTGAAGCAAAAAATATTTCACAATGTTTTGGTTTGATAAATCAGTTTTCTAATGGATGTTGTTCTGGCATATGATGCACAATATAGATTATTTTATAATTTAAGAAGATTTTTATAGACGGAATAAGCTTATTCGAAAATAAAGTTTTAAATATAATAAAGTAGTTGTTTTTATTTTAGATGCCAATCGTATTTTATTACGACTTAATGTCACAGCCCTGTCGGGCTTTGTATATTTTTCTTAAAATGACAGGCATTCCATTTGAATCGAAAGAAATTGCATTACGAAAACTTGAACAGATGACCGTTGAATATGCTCAAATAAATCCATTTAAAAAAGTACCAGTTATAGAAGATTCTGGATTTATTCTTACTGAAAGGTTAAAATAAATGAAGAAAAAGAAACAGATTATTCGCATAAAATTCTTCTTTTTTTTGTTAGTGTGGCAATTTTCAATTATCTTTGTGATAAATACAAAATGTATAATTGGTATCCAACAGATTTAAAACAACGAGCACATGTTAATGAATATGCTCATTGGCAACATTTAAATTTACGTGCTACGGGATCAATGCTTTTTCGTACTAAAGTAAAAAATGAAGATTTTCGACTTTATGAAATATAACAAATAAAGTTTCCTTAAGATCATTACACCTCGTATAACAAATAAACCACCCAATGAACGTGAATTAGAAAAATGGTATCAACAATGGCAAGAATCAATAAATTATCTTGAATCTGTATGGTTAACTCGATCATCTTATTTAGGTGGTGATCATTTAACAATTGCAGATTTACTTGGTAAATTACATTGATTAAAAAATCAAATTAATGATATAATCATCTTTCTATATTTAGGTATTTGTGAATTGATGCAACCGATTGCTGCAGGCTATGATTTAGATAAACAAAAATTTCCTCGTGTTTACGATTGGATGGAAAGAGTAAAAAAAGAAACGCAACCTTTTTTTGATCAAGCACATACTTTTCCTATGCGTATGAGAGATGCAATATTGAAAAATGAAAAATCTAAACTTTAAATCAACAAAAACTACAATTAAATTATTCATTTTGTTTTTTGAACTTTTGTGATTTTATTCAGTTTTTTATTTCATGATTTTGTGATTAAAAAGAATATTGATAGAAAAATACTGATTTTAATTTTTGAAAAATTGATTGAAAAAAATTCAAGACTATTGAATTAAAAAAACAAATATATATTCAAAGGATATGATTCACCAACGAATGGTGTTTTTGTACTGAAAGAAAACATTTTGGAAATCGATGAATTTTACTTCAGAAAAAAAAAAAGGTGAGATAAGATAAAAATTTAGAATTAAAAAAATGTCTTTCAAGGTCAAAACATAATGATACTCTAATGAATTTAAGTGTTGACAAAACAACGAAAAAAATTTATTTATTTTCTAGTTTTAAGGTGTGTAAAAAAATTGAAGCAAATGGTTATATTCTATAATTAAATCTTTCCAAATATTCTTCAATTGTACGAGTTGCTTTTGTATTCATTATTCGCAAAGCTTTTCTTTTTGACACATCTCTTCTCGTGTTCGCCTTGTTTATGCGATAGAACGACGAGCGATGGACATAATTGCGATTTGATTTCTTCAATCGTTGTGTTTAGTAAGCATATACACAGTACGGTATGCAAATGGGCTGCTATATGAGAGTGTTTATAGGGCCGATATTAGAAAGAAATATGTATATATATATATATATATATATATATATATATACACATACATACATATATTAATTGTTGCCAAACATATGTTACTATAACGTATAATATATTCTCAAAGACGAAGAAAAAAAAAATTTTTTTTTTTAACTTCTGATAATACAAAAAAAAATGAATAAATGATTGATGAATGGTTATTAACATTTGAAAAGATAGGATGTTCTAATCATTTGCATAATTTGAATAATAGTCTCATAGGAAAGTACTAAAAAGCATTTTGTCTTGTTTTCTATCAACGGAAGAAATTTGGAACGAATAGAAATTCTCAGAGTATCTAACCAATGAAAAATCGATCCGTTCTGTAAGTTTATATGAAGGAGGAAAAAAAATGATATCCATTAAGAGAAAAAGAAAAAAAAAAGGTAAGACAGATCGATGAGAAAGAGAGAACGAGAAGGAGCAAATCAAATTATCTATCGAAAAGCGATTCACACATATACAGACGCACACAATCATACACATCGTCAAAAGAGACGCGACGACAAGAACACTTGATTAATTGTTCGAACGGAAATATAATCATAAATATATTTTTCTTTCTTCTCTCTTCTCGTCTAAGTATTAAAAACTAATAACACATTGCTTAAAGATAAAGAGACAATATTTGAGTATTTTATTTTGTGGTAAGTCAATATCATTATTTTTAATAAAATAGTAGATCTTTTTTTATTATCATAGTATGTTATTAACATCAGGTTGGTCATTACCATCATCTTCTATTGAAGATTCATCTTTATTAGATGATATAATGTTATCGACTGCAACAACATCAAGTCAACATCAACCAAATTTTTGGTTTCCTGGTAGTCCATTACCTTCATTTTTTTCTTCATCATCTTCATCAACAATTGGAGGAACAGAGAAAATCTCTTATACTCAACAACCAACAACAAATAAAATTCTTTTTGATTCAAGTGCATGTAGTTCAAGTTCAGGAAGTTCACCACCTTTATCTAATGATTTTCTTCTTACACGTTCAAATCTAACACAACAACAACAACAACAACTACCACCACCATCAACAGGATCAACATTAAATTTAACACAATTTAATTATATTCAACAAAATCATCATCATCATCCTCCATCTGTTGTAACATCAACATCAAATAATTTTCTTCCTCGTGATGATTGGTCACAAATACCAATGGCACAAACAACAACTTCGAACACCTCCGCATGGCATCCACAACATTCAACAAAAGGTAAAATTTTTCTAACTCATTTAAATCATCCTATTGTATATAGAGAAGAACTTGCTCAATACCTCATTCATAGGTATATACATATATATATATATATATATATATTCTCATTCATTCATCCATTCATTTTCTCTGCCTTAATGGTTATTCAATGATTGGAAGGATGATTTATAATATTTGTTGCCGGCGCATTACATTTGCACATTTCTCTTAATGCTATGATGCTCTCTGTCTCTCTCTCTCACTAGCTCGTTTTTTTTTTATGTAATACAGAAAGACATTTGACAATAGACTTCCGTTTCTTTTCTTTTACTTATGTTTTGCTAGAATATTAAAAAAAAGTCATGCCATTATTTTTTTTTAATATTAAATGACATTTTAAATTTGATCTAATAGGCAACATTTGTATGAACATGATCGCATCATTTCAGTCGATCGATCAACACCAGACGTTGCATGATTGAAAGCCAATTTGTCACACAACTTAAATTAGTCTGTTGTATTTTAATCGTTTTTTAACCGCATCAACACATTCGATGGGCACCAGCAGTAGAATTTGCACGTGCTATGACTTCTTTCTGTGTTTTTTTTTCTTCGTCTTCAATTTCTATATGTGTAAAGCAAAAGGGCGTGACGAGTATCTTTGTCATTGCTCAATTGATTTGTTATCACATGCACGAACCACCTTTTTTTCATTTCGCACCTTCTATAGGACATAGATTTTGACTTTTTTTTAATGACATTGATACACACACATATTTAATGAGCAGCAAATGACACTTTTTTTTTAGCGAGAGAGGATGAGGGGGGGGGGAGAGAGGAGAGACGAAGGAGAAGCAAAATATATTTTTTTTACGAAGATAAATCAATTGAGAAGAAAATGTAATGAATCGAATCATCTTATGAGAAAAAAAAACGGATGCTAAAAGTAATAAACGATACGAATGATATTGAGAAAAAGCCGCTTCCGTCTATAATGTCAATCATTGTCAATGGACCATTTAAAAACAAAACAGAAAAATATGAACCCTCTTTAAATTTCATCGGAATTTAATCTATTTAAAAAAAAAAGAAAATATGTATTTTGCATAGCTTTATTATTCACCATATAAAGAAAAAAAAATTCGAACAATTGAAAATCAATGATCCTTCTGTATTGACATATATCATTAGAAATCTATGACATCACTTTAATATTAAGGTATAAAATAAAGAAAAAAAACTAAAAATGATATTATACACGAGTAACCTATCATTAATAATATTTAAGTCAAGATTTCGTTCTACTATGATAATCTAATTGATAATTATACACATATGATGATCGATCGAAAAGTGATTTTGCCGCAATGCTCCATGACATTGTCATCAAACGTTTCAACACACATATACATTCAAATGTGCACTCAAACGAAAAGAAGATCAATATGAGTACGATAAACGATGGCATCATCAAGGAGCACGTCAAACTTTTGAATAATTTGTTTTGACTTTTTCTTTTTGTTTTTTCTCAAGTGTGTTTATAATACACACGCATGCAAATGGTTATTAATAAGCCGTTAACTCTGATTGCTGTCTCTTATAAACAAATAATATTTGATGAAAGAAAATATCTATTTAGGTGTTCCTCTTGATAATTCTCAAGTAACAAATTATTCCAGTATGATGACTGGTAATGAATCAATAAAAGATATGAAACGTAAAAGTAGTCGACCAACATTTACTGGACATCAAATATTTGCATTAGAAAAAATGTTTGAAAATACGAAATATTTAGCTGGAACAGAAAGATCACGACTTGCTTGTCAATTAGCTATGAGTGAAGCACAAGTAAAAGTAAGAAATCTTTTGTTTTGTTTGTTTTTTTTTTTTGTATAAATATTGCAATGAATTTTATTTTGTTTTATAGGTTTGGTTTCAAAATAGGTAAAAAATTTTAAATAAAATTTGATTTACATAGTCTCTTTTTTTTTTGTTCTTTTAATAATTATTCAGACGTACAAAATGGCGAAAGAAACATGCTGCTGAAATTCATGGTCCATCCGGTAAACGAAATAAACAACAACGAAATGATGGATTAATTCCTCCGATTGAATCAGATTCAAATTCAACTTAAATCATTATGAAAATTTTCTTGCGTTCTCTTTCTTTTAGTGTTTCAGCTATTTGTGAAAAAAAAAAACTTACTGTGTACATTTATTTCCGTTTGTTACACATCATCATTTTGTTCAATGTTCTTTCTCGAATTTGAAATTGTTTTTCTTTCTTTTCTTTTTTTTTTTTTGCTTTTTGTAATGTGTGCGTTTATTATCATCGCATGCATATAGTCATTAATATATTCTATTAGTGGAAATTCATATGAAAACAAAAACAAATGAATCACCAATTTTGCTTTGTCATTTTAACATGTAATATATTACTGACTAATTAAAAGTATCAATTTATTATCAGAAAAAAAATTGAAAGATTTTTATAGAATATTAGTACGTATACTAGCTTGATCCGTTGATGTAGGATAATCAAAGATTGATGACTGTTTTTTGTTGTCTCTTCTAAACGAGTTACTCAATAATGAGGATTGATTCAATCTCAAATAATAATGAACTCAGAATGACTAGAGGCATCTACAAGGTTACGAGGATTGGAAGGAAACGATCACTAAGAAGATAGGGCTCATGACATTGAGGGTTTAGTTCTTGTCGCGAGGACTGATGAGCAAAAAGATGAAGAAAATCATTCAGTTTCGCTCGAGAAAAACGAAAATTTTTCAGGGTTGGAGGAATTCGTCTCCAATGGGCACTAGAGTCTGTCGGGTCTAAAAATTTCAGATTCAAACCAACCCGACAGGCTCTACTTGGAACATCCTTGAAAATAACAAAAAAAAAACCGAAAGTTGATTTTGACGTTTGTTGACATGTTGCGTTTTTTATTACAAAAAAAAAGGAGTTTCAGTAAATTAAAATGTTTAATTCTTATGGAAGCTAATCACGTGTCTAAACGATTTTTTATAATTCAGCTTTTGTAAATAAACTTGAAGTAACAGTCAAAATCAAGGATTTTTCCAGATGATCTAATCAATTCTTGAAGTTTCTTGCTATCGACATTGTCGAACTAGTTTTAAAAGGAATCAATTCGTTTTTTCGAATCAAAAGTTCAACTTTCAAAATATGCAGCATCCGATACTGAAATCTTCGCAATAATATCGAATTATATCATTGACTTCTTAACTGATTCAATCGTTTTGTTGAACAGCATCATATCCAAACTACAAATTTTCCACCGAACCCCTTTTTTTAAGAACCAATCTTAGAATGAATAAAACCTAAGAAATAAGATATCTCTAAAAAATTTTCTTGCAAGGTTTTTACCAAATTTTTACAAAAAACTACACAATAATGTAACGCATGAAATTCATCATCGGTATTAGTTTTGGTAAAATGTTTTTTATTCATTCTACTCTCGTTAATCAAAATAGTTTGAAAATAACAATTTTATAAAACAGACGCTTTTGTAAGAAAATTAACCATCATCTCCAGAAATCATCAATGAATTCAATTGTTTTTTACGTTATTTGTTCGAACTGTGGTAGATTTCAGCAACTTGGCAAAAAAATTTTTTTTTATCATTACACAACAAGTAAACGTGATCAAACTATTTAGTTTCTTTCAAAAAAAAAAGCAAGAACATTTTAAACTCCTAATACATCATTGATCAGAGAACTCGGATACAAGAATCATCATCAAACTTATGTTTTTCTATTCCCTTTTGATATAAACAAATTCACAAATATTAGAAAATGATATTGCTTGATAAATAATTAGAACGAAATAAATTTTTAGATGTGTTTGATTTCTGGCTTTTTCTAAGATTGTCATATCTGAATTAAAAATTTGTCGTATAAGTCAACTGTGACATTTAACAGAGTTCGACATTTTTGCAAAGATTTATAATCCCATATTATTTTCTCTATATTTCAAAATCATACATTTATTACAATAAAATCCTTGCTTAAAAAAAAACATCAGTCAACAATCAAGAATATTGCGTATAACAGGCTAATAGAAGTCTTATGTTTACTATAAATTCTAACATTATTCATTTTTTATCGATGCTTGAAATCGTTTTTGTGCTTGATTTAATCGTGCAAGTTTTTGTTCTTTAGTTAATACAGGCATTGCTCGACTATTACGAATAAGTGTAATAATACTAAGTAAAATTTCAATTAAAATTAATGTTAAACCTATTGCTGAAAGTAGAATTTCTATACGTTGAACATATGATTGCAATATAAGAAAAAAGACAAAGCCAACTGCACAAAAAAGTCCATATAAAATAAAAATAATTAAAAGAGCAGGTCTTAACATTAAATTGCCTTTAATACCAAAAAAATGACGAAGAAATTCATTTAAACAAAGCATAAATACTAAAGAAATTTCAAGACCAAATGCATTAGAACTATATGGTAAATGATAATATTTAAAAATAAAAAGAAGAATTTCAAGAATAAACCACAATATTGTATAAGTAATATTGGCATGTAAAAGAATATGAAGAGCAGTACTCGATTGGTCGGAAACAGTCAGAAACATGTTTCTAAAATAAAATATTATATGATTATATAGATCTCACAGTTTTCTCAACAATATTGTATCAATAACTTCCAGAAATTATTTTCTCGAAATTTTGTTATAAATTTTAGTCTTCATTTAGATGTATGAAGACTAAAAGTCATCTTTTTTTTTTGGAGAATATAGCTTTATTTTAGTTTTAGTTGAAACATACTTTAGGAGTATCGAACAATAAATTGAGCAGATTTAAAAATAAAAATAAAAATTATAGCAGTTTAGATTTAAAAATCGGATTAACTCTACACTTGATAACTTCTTACGAATAAAAAAAACATTTCAAAAATAAGAAATAAATCTGAACTATTAACTCAACCATAATAGATTACATTTCCAAAGTAATGCCTTCTTGACAACTTGTGTATATGTCCGGACAATACGCCATCTGGTCTGTCTTTTACATTACTCTGTTATGATAGGTGTATGTAGAACATCAATAGATATTTATTTAAGGTGAAGAGAAGAGAAGAGAATGATGAATAGAAACATATTTGGTTATTTCATTATTTAGAGAATTTGTTTTTAGATATTATGGTTGCATCTTTTTGCTTATATATAAACTAATAAGAGCAATTGAAAATATACTATCAAATATCATTACTAGGTATTAGAATTATTTTATTTTTTTGTATTGTTGTTTTTTGTTTTCTATGGTTGACTTGATTTTCGTTATTAAAAAAAAACTAAAAAGATATTTTATACTAAAATTTTCATTTTATTAGCTATCTATTGTTAGAAAAGATTCATATTCTTATCTCGCACATGATCACAATCGTTTTGTCTTTGTTATAATATTTTAACTTTTTATTAAAATATGTAGAAGTAAAGAAGATAATAATCGAGTTCATAAAGACAAAAGTATCCTTGTCTCATATATTAGAATAAGAAATTGTTAAATTTTTATTTTAAAACTCAAGAAAAAAATATAGAATTTTACAACTGATTTTTTTTTATTACTTTTTCAGATTAGCATGCGTTCTTCAGTTATCTTTGTTTATCTTCTATTATCTATTTTATGTGTTTATTGTTCTCAACCTAAACGTATAGTTGATCAAATGTATATATCATTTGATCATGCACGTTATTGTGTTCGTCGTCTTAATGGTACACATGAAATTGGTTGTCAATCATCTGCAAGTGGTAATTCTGGTCGAATGTATATGATTGATAATGATGAAGAATTTAATTCTTATCTTATGAATACTAAATTAATTGATTCATCTGGATCATTTATTATTGTACTCAATGTTAATTTATTTAATACATATTATGTTGATAAATTAATAACATCTCTGAGTTCAAAATTAAATGGTCTTTTACTTTATTTAAAATCAACACCATCACGACCTGAATATTTTTCACATGATGATCAATGTCCTAATCATCGTTATTCATATTATTTAAATCAAACAGAAATTATTAATTGGAATTCAAAAGGAACTGGTTTATTTTTTCGTTCATTTCCATTTCCAATAATGTTAATTGATGAAGAAGATGATTATAAACAATTAATAAAATTCTATCGACAATTTAATTATAGTCAATCATCATCACCAACATGTGGTCTTGAATTAAAATCATTTCAAAATGCAGCACATTCATCAAAAACATGTATACGAAGAAATGATATATCACATTCATTAATTGATCTTGAAGAAACATTTTGTGATCCAGTTGGTGGTTTAAATATTTATAGTAAATTACCACAATCATTTATAATTATACCTAAAAAACGTCAACCAAAATCAGTTATACTTATTTTAACAACAACAGACAGTTTTCAAATGTTTTTAAAAATAAAAGGTACAACAGGTGGTGCTCAACAACCAGCTACATCACTTATAACATTTCTTGCACTTGCACATCTTATTGGACAAGAACAAAATGAATTTAAACAACAAGATAAAGAAATTATATTTGTTACACTTGATGGTGATGCACTTGATTATTCAGCTTCATTTAAATTTATGTTTGATATGATAAATGGATCTTTTCCAATTGGTAATCAAAATGAAGAACCTATTAAAGTTGAACATATTCATTCTATTATTGAATTTCAATCATTAAGTTTAACTGATAAACTTTCAGTAAGTAAATCATTTTTTTTTGGGAAATTTTTATTCATTGATAAGCAACAAGAAAATAAAAAAAAATATTAATTTATTTTTTTTTCCTATTTTAATTTCAGCTTTATACATATCCATCATCACTTATAAATCAAACATTTATTGATACACTTGTTCATAATAATCCAATGATTATTCCAATGGCGGTTGATTCTTCTTTACCACCAGCATCTTCACAAATCTTTCTTCGTCAAACATCATCATTATCTTTTCCTGCTTATATACTTACATCAACAAATCAAAATCAATTATCAAATCATTATTATCATTCATTTTTTGATGATCCTTCAACATTATCAATTAATATATCATCATTAGAATATAATAGTACAACTGAATTTAGTCAATGGATTAAAAATATTGTT